CCCCTCGGAGCTGGCCCCGCCCCCGCACGCGACTTCCCGGGCTCTGGACCTGCCGCGCCGTGTTCCCGCGGGGGCTCCTCGGGGCGCGCGAGCCGGTGGACTGGCTCTAGGCGCGAGATCCCGCGAGAGCAGGAGCTGGAGGCTTTTCCCGAAGGCGGGAGCGGAGCGTGGGTGGAGCGTGGCGGAAGGTGGCTGCAGGTAGGGCTGCGCGCTGGGGACGGGGGAGGGCCAGCTCCCCAAGTGGAGGTGACTGTGCCGGTGCTCTGCGTCGCTTATTCGATATTTTCTAAGGTCAGGTCCACCAAGGACCGGACTGTAGGGTAGGTGGCGGCACCTGGAAGAAACCCGTCAGTACTGCCTGCCATCCGAAGTCCAGGCGGATAGCCGGAAGTTCCCTGTGGCCGTGTCTGAGTCCCAACGATGTTCGCAGTTAAACGGCTTCCATTGGCAGGAATGTATATCCCCCAACTGGTTGTTTCGTGACGTCATAAGATGGACGCTTCAATAAGCGTATTGACCCGGTTAAAGGTTAATTGTGGTAAGAACAATTTGGCTGCCTTCTTGCCGTGCTTTCGAACAGGTTTTAAATTACATGCTGCTGCTTGGGAATTGGGCTAAACTCAGTTTCGTAATAAATTGTTTCTTGGAAATAGTAGTAAAAGAAAAGCCCACTGTCATCTTTTGTATCAAAAATCCCTCTCAATAAGTAGTAAATGAGGTTCTGGGACTCATTCCAGCGCTGGCCTACCTGGCGCATACAGGTTATGAAAGTTCAGTACGCTCGTAGGTAACGCTGAAAGTGTATTTGAAGAAATAAAATGGAGAAACATTCTAAGTTGATACGGGTGAATGGTGTTTGAAGCTGAATCAATGAGAATGTATTGAGCATTTACTATGTTCCCTTGACCCAATTGGGCACTGTAGGGAATGCAGTGAAGCTTAAGACATGGTTCCTGCTTTCAAGAAATGTAAAACTTTTGGAGGAGGAGGAAAAAAATCTCTACATTGAAAAAATAGTAATAATGATAATAACACCATTAACTCTCCCCGTGGTTTCTCTAGTGCCACTTTCTCCTGGTCCTGTAACTGCCTTCCTGATTCACTTCAAATATTTTTCTTCCCCTTGTGAGCCCTCTGTGTTCCCAGCCTCTCCTTTTTTGTTGTTGTTTAACGTTCCTCCTCTTTGCTCCTTGAGGAGTCTTTTCTCTTTCTCGGGTTACCTGTCAGGTGTCTGGTGCACCAGGGACTCCCAAATGTGTATCTTCAGGTCAGATCTTTTTAAGCAACAGCACCTTCATTTGGCTTGCACACAGTTACCTTAACTATGTCCCAAATTGACATCCGCGTGTTTACTTGTCACTGTGTCTCTGCCCCCTCCATATGTAACCTGGCCCATTTCATCCCTATTTCAGATAATGGTACCCATGGCCCAAGTCAGAAGTCCATGCGTACCCCTATATTACATTTCCTTCATTCCCTCTGTCCTAATAACAAATTCTATTGACTCATCTCCTTGAGTATCTCTCAAATCCACCCCTCTTTTAAATCTCCACTCTCACTGGCTTAGTCCATCAAGTAATCGTCATCTCTCCTGACTCATCCCCCTTGGACTATTATAGTAGACTGTAGTCACTTCCCACTCCAACCCAACCTCCATTCTATTAATAATTTTTCTAACGTGAGAATATGATCATGACACTCCGCTGCCAGGATTTTGTCAGGGGCTCCCAGTGGAGCTCCTTGCGATCTGGCCCCAGACTGTTAACCTCACCTACCGTTCTTTCCACTTGCTCCACATCCACCCTGATCTCCTTGCTCTTCCGTGATGTGCCTGGGTTCTCCCAAGATCCTTCAGGTCTCAGTTGATTACTTATCTCCTCCATGGAACCTTCCATAACTTTCTAAGGCAGACTTGCCCTTCCTCCACCCTTTTTGGACTTCTTTCTATTATAACAGTGATGTTGTCCTATGGTTATTTCTTTGCAGAGGTCACTGACAAAGCAACCCCCACCTCCACTCTTGAAAAAAATAATTTGAACTTTGGATGTTAAAGACTTGTGCCGTCATTACCCTTCCTCATTTAGAGATTACAGAAGAATGCCTATGCGGTTCACCCTGCTCAAGAATTCGACTGAACACTGACTGTACACTTTCTGCCTGTTCCTGGCATATCTAAGTACTGAGTTTTCAATGAGAGACTTGTAATAGGTCACAAGTTAAATATCATGAGGTCAGCCTGAAGCAAACAGGTGAAAAAAAGCAAAATCGGTATTGTATGTTAGGACAGGAGTTGGTCCCAGAAAACTTGGAAGTTAGCAATGTCACAACATAGATTTTAAATGTATTGCCTTTGAGAATTACTGTATGTCCTTGAGGGCTAAGTGTGTGTGTGTGTGTGTGTGTGTGTGTGTGTGTGTGTTTGATTCACTGTTTATTGATGGACCCAAATTTATGAAGAGCAACCTCAGCACCTTACACTGACCTGAGATCATGAGAGGGAACAGGCTTGGAGCACCAAATGCCACCTTGTGTTGTCCAGCTGAGACCTGGCCAAAGGTAAATTACTGCCACACTTACCCACCTCTTACTATTATTCTGGGGACTAGAACTCCGACCTCGGGAATCTTACTACCTTGTGGCTAGACCCACCTGATCACGGACCGGTGGTAGGAGTAACAATACTCTGTCCTGAGGAGCTGCGATCCAGGAGGTGATCAGCAGCTAGAGACATGGAACACTGTGACTGAGCTGGGCGGGGCAGAGTGACATGAGGCACAGAGAAGTGGTAGCTGAATGGCCGACTCAGGATTACATACTGGGCAAACTCCTGTTTCCCTAAATGCATGAAGGAAACGAGGGCTGGTGAGTTTTATTTCCTTACAAAAAACTTATCAAGTTTTACTTCCTTAGCCCCTAGAGAGCAGGGACCGTATTTTTCCATTGTTGTATTTCCAGAGCATAACACAGCCCCTGGCACAGATGCTTAACAAGTTCACGTTCAGCGGACGGAGTGAAAAATTGGAAGTCTTACGGATTTTTTAGAGAACAGACGTCTGTGCTGCCCAGGATGGTGGGGGAGGGCCTCTGCGGAAGAGCGAGTGCGAGCTTCAGCTTGGGAGTCATAGGTGGGCACACCTGAAGGCCCTGAGGCGAGAGACGTGAGCGCATGCAGAGCAGAGTTTTAGAAACAGTGATGAACAGGCCAGTGCGGGCTGTTAGGATGTTCCTGAGCGAGATGATTCGTTTAGAATCACATGCAGAAGATGTGAGGGGAAATTATAGCAAGAAGATGAGCTTCACCAGTGCAGTTCCAGAGAAGTCTTCAAGCTGTGACTTGATGATGAGGTCACCAGAACCAGGCCGTCACCAGCCACCACTTCCCCCTCGACACACTCACGTGCCAGTTGTGACACCACCCTCTCCTGGCTCTGCTCCAACCTTACTGGCGGCTCCTTTTCAATCTGCTTTTCTCTTACATTTTCAGTCTGCTTTTATCTTCTAAAGCAGCGGTTCTCAACCTGTGGGTTGTGACCCCTTTGGGGGTTCAACGACCCTTTCACAGGGGTCGCCTAAGACTATCGGAAAACACATATTTTCGATGGTCTTAGGAACCGAGACACTGCTCCTCTATCCGTCTCCATGCTTCAAGACAAAATTTCATTTATTTGTAATTAGAAATATATTTCTAATTAATAATATAATTACATATTGTTTTTGTGATTAATCACTATGCTTTAATTATGTTCAATTTGTAACAAAATACATCCTGCATATCAGATATTTACATTACAATTCATAACAGTAGCAAAATTACAGTTATAGAGTAGCAATGAAAATAATTTTATGGTTGGGGGTCACCACAACATGAGGGACTGTATTAAGGGGTCACGGCATTAGGAAGGTTGGGAACTGCTGTTCTAAAGGATAATGTGCTTCAGTACCCAGCCCTGAGATCTCATTTGTCCCATAGATTTAAATCCATTTCCCACACAGATCCTACATGATCTGCCCCTACCTCCCTAACAGCATCTCATGCTATTCAAGGCTTCGCGTTCTTTAGTCCCTAAGCCTAGAACTGTGGCTGTCCCAACAGTCCCAGTTGAGAGCCACAGTTCTAGGCTTAGGGACTGTGCCTAGAAAAATCAACTGGGACTGATTTTTCTCTCCCAGGGGACATTTGTTCAGGTTGTCCTAGTTGCAGGGCCGGGGGGAGATGCTGCTATTGATATCCAGTGGGTTGAGGCCAGGGATGCTGCAAACATCCTACAGTGACAAGACAGTCCCCTACAACACAGAATTATACATTATACGGTCCAAAACGTCAATAGTGCAAAGGCTGAGAAATCCTGGCCTACAACACTCATCCCCTGAGTCTCCCAAGCGGCCAACGCCTTTGCGTCCTCCATACCTCAGCTTTAATGTTACCTTCTTAGAAAAGCCATTCTAGAACTCCTGGCTTATCTCTAGCACAGTGCCCTGTTTATTCCCCTCATAGCATTTATTACAGTCTGTGACTGTGTTGCTGATTTATGTGCTTACTCGCTTATTGTCTTTCTCACTAAAAAAAGTCTATGAAGGGCCTGTCTCTCTTGATTGTCACTCTGTAAAGCCTGGTACAGTGACACAGAGAAGGTGGCAATAAAGAGGTGTGTTACAGCCATCATCTGCAATAATGGAAGCTTAACCATAAGACTTTCTTGTATTCTTTTTGCTTTTTCCTGTAAAATGGAAATACACAGTTATCAAGAGAGCAGAGAGAAGACTCCTAGAAAGAAGCTGTGGTGACCAGTGCTTCCTGGAAGGCTGTGGGCCTGCTGTCCGAGTTCACACACACTTCAGGAACACCCTTGCGTCCTGAGAAGCTTCCCAGTGTCAGAACCAGAAATAGAACTCATGGCCGCATTAACCACTGTCTGTGAGAGGCTAAAAATCAGTCGGGAAGGAAAGAAGAAAGGTAAGGGACAGCACGAAAACATGAGAGCAAATGACAGCACTTTTACTCAGGTGATATCTTAGAAGGTTAGAAAACCTCATTTTTTATTATGCACACAGCTGAAAAAGCTGTTTCAAAATGTATTTGGAAGTGTCTGGTTAACATACATTTCATTTCTTTCAATTAAGGAAGTATCTATTGTGGACATATATTGCTTTGTCTTTTCCTGCTTTTGTTAATACGTCAGACCACGTAACCACAGGGTAGGCATAATTCCGGGTGGGGTACTTCACCCTTTCTGGCTGAAAGGATTGGTATGGGGGTGATTCAGGCTAATTAGCATCCATGCCCAGGGGTTTTCAAATTAGAGCTTGCAGAAAAGATCCCTATTTTTTCTGATTGCAAAGCTATAGAGGTGTGAGCTCAGAGCTGCTGTGGCTGCATGCCTTGCCATTGAGTGTAGCTGGTCTGAAAGAGTAAGGCAGATATGGGGGGCAGAGGGACAGAAAGAGGGTCCCTGAGGCCCCTCTATCTTCTTATAATAGAGAACTCAGGACTCCTCAAAGCTCAGCAGCTGATGTTTTGTTAAACATCAGATCGGACTCAGTACCCGTGGGGTTCTAGTCAGCTCTTCCTTAGCCGGAACTCTGTTGGCCATGCGCCACAATCTTTCTAAGCCTCTGCTATACCAGAGCCGCCATTTGCGAGCTAACCATAGTTAGTGATTTTACCAGCGGACACCTTAATTTTTGCTGACTTACTGTCAGCTTAAGCGATTTCATTACCCTTGTATGTTATTTCACATGGAAACATCCTAATTTCTTATCTGTAAAATTGGGATGAGAAATAGTACTTATATATGATGTCTTTTGATGATGCCCCAGATAAAACAAGTGTGAAGCCCTGTACTGTGTTATTATGGCCGTCAGTGCTGTTATTAGGGTCGCCGATACTGTAGTCATCGATGCTAATGATGCCTTGAGAACCTACCGACTGTTTTCCTTGCTGTAGTATGTACTTTATGACAGTCTCACAGATGCCGGAGGCTTCACATGTCATCTGGTCCAGCCTCCCACTCACTGAAGGATGGTCCTCACCAGGGGTTATCAGCCTGTGTTCCAATATGGTGACAGGGATAGGAAACCTGATGCTTTGTGGGCAGCTGATCCCTTGTTAAAACGTCCGTAACTGTTAAAGAAAGTTTGATCACAATGAGCTGATATCCACCTCCTAGTAATTTGCACGCACAGGTCTTATTTCTGTCCTTTGTAGGCACGGGAATCTCAACTCTCTCTTCCATAAGATTGTTTAACTTTGAAAACATCTTTTGTGTTTTCCAGCTAAAAATCCTCAGTTCTCTCAATATTTGAAGGCCAAGTCAATATTAAACTAATCAATTCAGCTTCCGCTCATCCTACAAAGGATTTAAAGTAAAATCTTATAAAAAAAATGAAATGAGGTGAATTCTAGCATATACTATTAAAGAGTGGTCAAGTATAAATAAGAAAAAAGAATCAGAGCTACAGAAACGACAAGTAAAACATTAGGAATGAGAACAAAAGAACAGAAATATGCATGAGCCTGCAGCTTAAACCTGTTTGGCTCAGATCTGAATCAAAAGTGGGTTTGATATTTCAGTTATCAGTAACAGGAAGACATTTTTCTGTCATCACCTAAAGTGCTTTTCCCCACGTGGGCCTTTATCTGAGGAGGAGACTGTTGTTCTCGCTCTGTGTCAGTATCTGCGCTCCCTGACAATGGCTCACCAGTCGCCCCTGGGAAATGCAGCGACAGGCTCATATACCATCCGTGTGACTGGATGCATGATGCTCTTTTGCTGTCAACCTCTGAAAAAAATGAGGCACCCAAAAATAAAACCAGGCTTTTACAATTAGCCTGACTGTGGTTTGGGGAAATTATACCCTCTCTTGGTCCAGACACTGTTTTTTTTTTTTTAATCAAGACAGTTGAAGTAAGATTGTTTTTACTTACTCTGCGACTACGTCACTTTGTTAGCCAATGTAAGTTTATGTTAAAAAAACTGAAATTTTATTGGATGATTTTGTTTTTGTGAATTGATAGCAAGCCAGGCTTCCCAAATCTTAATGTCACTAGTTTTTTAGACACAGAAGCTTATACTGCCTCAGACCATGAGTGGCTTCATCATGTTTCTTTCATATCTTTAATATTTCCTTTTAGGTTCTGAAGTTTTAGTCCACATCTCATAAGAGCCACTATTCTTCCTAGATTTTTGTGTTGTCAAATTACTATCTTGTTTGTCTTTAGCTGAATCATTGAGGAAATGTTGAAGAGGCTGGATTCCTGATACTCAGCTCCAGCTGTGGCCAAAGTTAACCTGAATGGTGGCATTAAAACTATTTAGAAAGCCAAGAAGAAACCATATGTAAGGGCAACATGGTGTCATAAAAAAGCATGGCCATTAGACCTGGGTTCAGATCCCGACTTTACCGTTTTGTGTTTGCGTGCCCCGAGCAGCTGTGAATGTCTCTAAAGCTCTAAAGTTAACATGAATAGGAGAAATGCCAACCAACCCCCTGTGGGCATTTATTTGCATGGTTATTTTTGGGGTGGGGCGGGCAATGCTTTGTAATCTGAGAGAAAACGAAAGACACAGGCAGTGGAATTGCTTGTGTTCAGAAGCAACCTGATATGATATGATGTGGTATGATATGATATGATATGATAGAACCTTGAATGGAGAAACTCTTCTCTTAAATTAACAAGTAGCTGTGTGGTTGTGTGCTGGTCCGCTCACCTCTTCTAAGCCTCTTTCCTAATCCATAAATGAAAGGATTGGACCACCTGCTCCCAGCTGCTAAAGACTTGAGATTAAGGAGCCTCTTCCCAGTCATTATTTAATTCCAAAATATGTGTCAGGAACTAGGTGCTCTGTGGAGATTGTTTTACTTAGCTTTCCCGACAGCCCTAAAATATTAATACTTAGATATGATTAATATCCTTGTTTTAGAGACAGTGAAAGTGAGGTACCTAGCACGGTGCCTGGCACAGAGGAGGCACTCAGTAAACATCAGCGAAACTACTAAAGAAAAGAACATATCAGGTACATGTGCTGTCTGGTCACAGCCATGGGAATACAGTAAGTAGAAGGCAGTGAAGGCGCGCTATACTATACCAACAGATCCAGAATTAAAGGCCAAAATAGAGACTTTGTCATTAAGCCCTTCACTAGGATTCTTGTTCATAAATATCTTTAATTTTTTTATAAAACAAGTTTTTAAACACGTCTTACATATAATAGGCTCTAGAATCTTAGAGATGGAAAGGAACTCAGAGATTAGTTTGTTAAGATCCTTCACTGTACAGACAAAAGCCTTAAGCTCAGGGAGGTGGAGGTACCGAAGCCCGTGATGGGCGGCTGCGTCCAGTTCCTACACGCTTGGAATCGGCCTCGTGCGAAATGTTGTCCCTGACAGAGTCTGAAGTTTTGTGAGAGATGATGCTCTGAGCGTGCAGCGGAACTTCTGTCTTCAAGGATTGTCACCCTGGGATCCTTCTGAAAATCAACAGGAAGGGGACGTGAGGAGGACGTCAAGGGCATTCACAGTGAAGATTCTCTCTTCCTGAATTGTGATGTCCATAGCAGTTCTCTGACTTTATGGGAAACCCTAAGGTGTTCGGAAATTTACCAAGTGTTTTCCTACCCCTCGGGAACCTGACAGATCTAAACTGCTGTGACGTACACACACACGCGTGCACACACGCACACAACTGTACATCTTGGACTGACTTGTGTCAAGTAGTTCTTTGAGAAACACGATGGTAACTAGCACCAAGCCTTCTGCTCATAGCATGTTGGCTGAGACCCTGATCCCAGAGGAAGTTGCCCGGAGAGCGCATTTCTTTGTAAAGATGACAAAAATATTCAGGGCACCAGTGTTTTCAAGTTGAACTTCCTTGTTGAAATTCACTTCACAGTCAAAATAGAAGAGGGAAATAAGACATTTTTGATAGAGTAATAAAATTGTTGGAAAATATTCAGTGATAGAAATACTTCAAAGAATTACAGGTGTATATAAAGGCAGAAATCCTGGCATACTGAGCTATTTCTAATTCTGAACTGTTAGTGCTCTTGAGTCTTTCATTCTCTTATCTATGGAACAAGCCCTGAAATTGTGCTGGAAAAAAACTTACTAACTCTTGGCAAACAATCGCACTGGGCATCAAAGCCTTTTTGTACATTTTAAAATCAAAGTTTTCTGATTAAATTGTTTTCTACAAGTTTTGTTCTGCTACTGTTTCAAATTATTTTAATTCTGAAGAACTCTATCAAATTAGTTATAATAGTTTTAATGTGATGGAGAGAAGCCATTTCAGTTGCTAAAAGCAACGCTAACATTTCAGTTTCAAAGCGCAAGCAGCATAGTTTCCATTATGATCCAGTTCACATGAACATGTATAAAATGAAATCACAGGTTCATGAAACAACACTATTACTGTGAGCGATGTACTCAGATATTATTTTACTTTATTTCATTTAAGAAGCTGCTAATCACAACCAACTGAATTGATTTCTAGACCCCTTAGCGGAACATAGATATAGTTTGAAAGACATGGAGCCAGAGCTTTTTAGAGGAAGGAGCAATATTTACTCCTTTCTTTAATACAGTATGGAAATTTACTCCCAGTTAGAACAAGAGTATTCATTTTGATTTGGTATCATCACCATTAACAATTCCTTACTAATAAAAATAAAACTTCCTAGTGTATAAAAAAAAAAAGGGCCTTCTCTGGTTCCACCTTTTACTAACATTCCCCCTAATTCACATTCTCATTTCTTTATGGTTAGTAAATAGGGTATTTATTATATAATACCCAATCATATAAGGCTGTATCTATACAGGTAGAGGTCGATATGGAATCGCTTACAGTATGTCACCAGAAGATGTGCGGATTGTCCCCAGGTGGATGAGTGCATTCTCGATTGAGATGGGAGACAGAATAGGATGATAGGAGTGTTCGCTCAGGAGTAGAATTCTTGGCTCCGAATTTTAGACATGCACTATGAGATTGGGCTAGTTTCTTAACTTCTCTGATCTAAGTTTCCATACTGTAAATGAGGGACTGGATCTAGAATATTTCAAAATAGTGTCTAATTCTAAAGTTCTCTGATTCTAAGCAGATGGTTGTTTATTTAAACCAGAGTGTTTCATTATGCTATTTGCACAGTACTAGTGGGTCACATTTGGCAAAATAATAACTTGTTCTTTGCTTACACTTTTATATCCAAAATATTAACATCGTTTTGCTATGCTAACGAGGACACATAACGAAATATCACAGTGTGGAATTGTACAAAAGGCATAGTCTAATACATTCTGGTAATTATGATTACGAACCATAATTGATACATTTATCCATATATGCATCTGACAACATGATAATTTTTCGGCGTTGCTGTGTGTCTTAGTCTGTTTGGGCTACTATAACAGAATCCCGTAGGCTGGGTGGCTTATGAACCACAGACATTTATTTCTCACAGTTCTGGAAGCTGAGAAGCCCAAGATCAAAGCGACAGCAGCTTCGTGTATGGAGACAGCCTGCTGCCTGCTTCATGGAGGACAGTCGTCTCCGTTCCCCACCTGGGGAAGGGGTGAGGGGGCTCTGCGGGACCCTTTTATAAGAGCATAATCACATTCCTGAGGGCCCCACCCTCATGGCCCCATCACCTCCCAAAGGTGCCACCTCATAATGCCATCACGTTGGCAGTTAGGATTTCAACATGTCAGTTTTAGGGAGAACATACACATTCAGCCTATAGCATTATAAACTTGTAAGCTTAATGTGTTTTTAATAGATTTTGATGAGTTTGGGAGGAAACTTACTGTAATTAACGTTAGACTATGTTCACATCTCTTTCTGTGGACCAGGAGTAGAGAACATGCTTCTCAAATAAACGAGGTCCATTTGGATTTACGTTCCAAAGCAGGTGCTGAGCCTGGAGTGCTGTGTGGCCCCGCAGAGAGCCATGCTGGGGAGCCTGGGGACGTGCGGCGCCCCGCTATGCTTAGGGTCTTCATCAGCACCAGTTTCACATGTAGGTAGACTGAAAGTGAACGGGCATTAGGAAGCGAGTTTTACAATGAAGCTGGAAAGTGGAGATTGCGAAATACCCCTGCCTGCTTTTTCAAGGTAAGGTGGAGAAGAAGAAAGGGTTATTTCAGGCTGATGGCGCGTAGGTGAGCTTTCCATTATTTTATAGAGGAATGGCCTCCTTTCCCTGGTTATGACTTCCAGGTGCTTAATTTCTTTAAGCAGGGTGGAGCCCCCCCTCAAGAGATAGGGACTTGGGGAACTGTCTTTATTCATTACACTCTAGAGATTATTGTGCCAACGCATTAGAATCCAAGTGCAATACATTTCTTGATTTGGAATATTGCAAACAGGTATTTAAGTGAAAAGTCATTTTAGTTTTTTTAAAACGCAGGGTTATGTAGCCACCAGTTCCACGGGAACTCCCTTCTGATTGTGTATTCTGAGGAGACTGACCCAGGGCCATACTGATTTTTCTCAAGTGACAGAAAATACATGAGTGTTCACAAGAAATATTTTAGCGAGATCCTAAACAGGCTGCCTTCGTTGCAACTTTGAGTCTGGAGAACGGAGCTAATGCTAATGCCTATCCTAAGAAGTAGTTAGGCTACTTGAGTGTTGCTGATTATGTATGTATTTTATATATTCATTGCTGCAACATATATTAGTCCCAAATCAGGGCCAAGCATATGTATCCCAAAGCAGTGCCAGCGTAACTGCTAATCTATTTTAGTTCTAAATGCCTTTGCCTTCTTACTGTGTGATCTTGATAGTTTTTTATTTTGTTAATAACAATAGCTAACATTTATCAAGCACTTACCTTTTATTGGGCAATGTACTTTATAATGCAGTATTTTTAAGATAGATACTAGTATTATCCCCATAATTAAGATACATTTATTTATGTAACAAATTTTTATTCTTTATTATGTACCTGGCTCAGAGGATGCAGCAGTTTAGAAAAAAAAAGCAAAGTCCCTGCCCTCATTCAGAAGGCATTCATTCTGGTGGGCGAGAGAAACAATAAAAAATAACACATACTGATGCGTGGCAGCCAGGAGCCTCAACCCAGCAATGTAATGACCTGTTATGTTGTACTGTGACCTTCACCGTGGTGTCCTCGCCAAGGCTGCTTCCCCTGTGTGCTCCCCGCCAGTGACTGACAGGCCAGTGACATCAGAGCAGACCTGTGCCTGGAAAACGCAGGACCCCTCTTCAGGTGGCTTTGGCTCTGGGATCCCCCAACAGCCTTGAGGAGTCTCCCCCAGACTGCACAGCGTCCAGCACATGCCCAGGCACCCCACTGAGGCCTCTTGGGTCTCCCAGCCTTTGCTGACTCCCTCCTCTTTTCTCTCACATGGGCAGTTTTCCTAATGTTAGGGAGTAATAAGTGCTACAAAGAAAAGTAAACGCACAGTAAGAGGTTAGAAGTGTGCTCTCCTATATAAGGGTGGTCCAGGAAGGTCTCAGGCAGAGGTGGCGTTTGTGCCACATAAAGAGTGAAGTAAATTGCTTGAGGTCCCATTGCTGCTTTATGGTGGATCAGCTGAGTCGGCACTTTTAAATACACTGCCTTCATGTGTCATTTGCAAGTGGGATGCTAGAGAAAATGTAAGAGAATATCTGAGTGACAACTCGCATCTGACAATTGCATACATGTAGGACAAAGCTCCTCCTAAATCAGCGGTTCTCAACCTGTGGGTTGCGACCCCTTTAGGGGTCGCCTAAGACCATCGGAAAACAAAAAGATATTTACATTATGATTCATAACAGTAGCAAAATTACAGTTATAGAGTAGCAACAAAAATTATTTTAATGGTTGGGGGTCACCACAACATGAGGAACTGTATTCAAGGGTCGCAGCATTAGGAAGGTTGAGAATCGCTGTTCTAAATGAAGGGCCCCAGAAACCCATCAAATAATACAGTTAGCATCTGTACAGCCTGGTTTGTATGTCCCTTCCACCTGTTCCATTCTGGCATTCCATTTTTTCCCCTGTTCTTTTATATTTGTTTTGTTAGTGCTGCAGCTTCTATGCTAATTCTTCAATCAGCAGTTTCAAAATAGGGCATAACATTGAATTTATCTTTTTTTCTTCTGACTTTTTCCAGTCCTGTTTCCTGAAACGTCTCAATCACCTACACTGCCTAAATTGTCACTGAAGTGTATTTCAGAATATGACACAGTACTGGATAAATGGTAAGCACATTTTTTCTGGATAATGATACTATCTTAGAAATAGCTTTCCCCCTCTCTGCCCTATGTACCAAATCTTCCCAATGAAATCACATCGTATTGAGAAGCCACAGCAAGTTTATGTCCAGGGTGGAAATCCAGTTCTTCTGTTTAAGGAACTTAAATAGGAACACACCCTTTTATTTATCTAATAATACTGCAGCTTAAGCCATTGAAATACACAATTTTACTTACTTTTTTTCTTAGTTCTGAGAAGCTTAACCTTTTAAAGCATACTTTTCTAAACACCCTTTGATACATTTGAGAAGTGCTATGATCAGTTGGTTTGGAACAGATTGCCCTTGCTTGCTTTTTTGGCAAAAGCCTGGCACTCTTCCACCTTTCATAGAAAATGAGCTGTCCTTTCTACAGAATTGTAGTGCGTGTGGAGGTCGAAAGTATTTTTCATAAGAAAAGGGGTATTCGAGGCAACACTTTCCTAAGCTTAATAAAAAGCAGTCATGGCTGAGAAACTGCCCTGATGTCAAGTAAGTTTTATCTTGCATAAGCGGCAGTGAGGAAATTCCAGAATTAATAAGTCTGCTGGTGCAGCTGTGCCCTGAGTTGGAAAGTTCATGGTGTTCTTTTCATACTCACGACTGGACATTTTGCTCCACATCAGCCTTTGTGAGAATACTTGGCACCCTCCATTTCCAAGCTCCTAAAGCGTTTATATAAATGGGTCTATTTAGAAAAAGTAAAATTTTAAGTGCATGCGATAAATGGCCATTTTGACTAAAAAAGTCTTTTCCATATTTGCAGTTGATTCTGTAATAACCAATAATAAGTTGTTTTTAATTACCAAGTCCTTTCAACTACTGGTTAAGGAGTGGAAAATACTAGCTTTGAGAAGTGGTTGAAGGGAGTGGACAGTCCCAAGCCAAGAATAATCTTTTTAAACATAGTTCTAGTTATTAGTGGAGCTGTAGCTGTTATCTAGAGAACAGTTGGCTAGCTGATCATCAAGAAATTGGCAAAATAAAACAGGAGATACAGTTTCATGACTTAGAAGTCTGTTGAACAGTTGAATGGAAATTGAGAGTTTCCTGTGAAGTTTTGAAAAGAGAAAATATGGAAAGGAATGTTTGTGGTGTTATCACACTAGATGATTTCGTTCAGCCTTACGGTTATGAGTGGCATGCCTGTCTCACCTCCTTGTCTCCTCTGCTTGGCCCCTTTGACTTTACAGAGGAAGGCGACGCAGATCGGAAGGGCTCGGCGCTGTGCAGAGATGAGCAGGTTTGATCCGAGTACACTTTCGTGTTTCTCTGATTTCATACCTAAACATGCATATTGCTTGCTTATTTAGTTCACTTTTAACACAGTCTGAGAGTTCAGCATTGTATGATTAAGAGTGACGACGTTGGAGGGTGACTCTAAAATACCTCAGTTTATAGCTGCATTGGTCCAATTAAGGTCATGGAGGTTTTTTTTATTATTTTGTCTAGACGTAATAAAATAGCTTAAGGCTGGGTTTTATTCCGAAAGAGAAGTAATTGTCATGAGTTCTTAGAGCATATATTTTTGAACCAGGCTTACCCAATTCTTCCCTTTTGAACTAGAATTAAGCTAATCACCTTCGTTCTCTGAGGCTCAGTTTTATATGAGACGGAGCTTCTTTACAATACCTTCCTCACAGGATAATTATGCAAATAAACTAATATTACACTATATATATTAAATAGCCGTTCTAAAGCAGTGAGTGTAGTGCTTCGCATTCAATTGTCCATCAACAAATATTTTCATTCCTTTACCTTGTCTTTTAATTGTTTTTCTTCTTTATTCCATTTTTCATGTATACACATGTGGGTGGAAAAAAATGTCAGTCTTTCTGCTGTTCTAAATAGACGATCATATTTCTTCAGACTTTGAAAAATTTAGCTGCTCTTCATGTCAGCGGAAACCCCATTTAGTATTCCTTTTGAATTCTTAACTGTATAGCAACTGGAGTGTGAAATTTTGGCATTTCTAAAGGTGTCAGACAGATGAGCTAGAATTAACAGACACTTCTAAGAAAGGAAGAAATACAATAGTGAACAGAGGATTATTTCATCATTTTCTACCCAATCTTCAAAAAAAAGTTCTTAGGATTCTCCCTTTTTAAGTACTGCTTTATGGTACTGGGCAGAGCTGTTCTATAGCTCACATATTGAATTGATAGCCCCCTTGTGGTGATTGACAGAATGGTGACATTGGGCATAGATTTTGTCTATTTAGAGGTAATTCAAACCATGCAATAAAATTCCAACTTAATGAAAAATTGTAAATCATTTCAAACTGCTAATAAAAAACTAAACCATTTCAGCAAAATGCATAATAGAATATGACTAATTTTTACTTTTAAAATTAAAATGAACAAAAACTGGCATGATGGGAACCTCATATCTAGAGTTTATTGAAGAATGCCAACATTATTATTTTAAAACAGGTAAACACCAGAACATAAATAAAGCTAATGTATCTTAAAGATATACAGAGGGTGCCAAAAAATGCATACATGTTTAAGAAAGGAAAAAACTGTTTTAAAATTGTAATACAATGAATGACGCTAGCATTCATATGATTAACGCCATCTTTTGAGTGAATGTCATACTATTATACATTGCTACCATAATTCAATTCAACTGTGAAAAGTAATACATAGATAACATCTCTTAAAATGTGTACAGTTTTTTGGCACCCCCAGTATTTTAAATTATACAAATTACCTACCATGATAATGTGTATAAATACAATATGTTGATATTGTTACTTTATAGGGATTGCATTTTTCATAAGAAAAAAATTAATTTCTCTCCTTACAAGTTCAGAGGATGATTGAAACAACCACCAATCGCAACACTACATACAGCATTGCTACTTAGCATTTTCCTTACGCTATTCTATACGCTCCTGTTCCTAGCTCCTGCATTTAATCTGATAGATAGTTTTCTGTGGATGGAACATTTCTTCTCCATTTAAACAGAACTCTTCACTGAATTGAAATAGAGAGAACTGATGTTTATTTCTGACCAGTTCTATATTATATACTCCCTCAGTCATATTTTAAGGTATATCTGTAACTGGATATTAGTTTGAGTCTTTTATACCAATATAGTCACGTATTTCATGAGAGATGTGTGCTATATTACTTCCAGATATGTTTGTGCTCTTCTGTGTCTTGTTTTTGTTTGTTTTATAGCGATCCTAGTACTTAAGGATTGGAGCAGAATTTAAAGATTCTGTAAAGACAGCTGCCAATTCAAATTACTTTCCCTTCCTCGCTCATGTACTTATATTTATTTATATGTATATTAGTGTGTATTTTATTTGTCACTAGTGTTCTAAAAATGTACACATGAAATTGAACCTGATCTACACACAGCTTTGGGACGTGTAGGGCTTGAGTTCTGAGGACACCTTGGTCTCTGAAATGGTAGCAGATGACGTGCCTTGTGTCATTGCCTCAGACTCCTTGACTTAATACTGAGCTAATGTAACAACCCAGCTTTACTCTGGAGAATGTCTGGAATACCCACCTAATGATACAAACAATGCCGAGAAAGACAAAGCCCTTTAGAAGCTGTAATAATGACTAATGAAAAGACTTCATCCAGACATGCTACTTTATCATGGTCACGGAAAGGAAGAACCCAGCCCTTTTCTCCATCAATAATGTTTGTACATGATCTTCAATAGCTTTCATCCCTTCAATAAAACTCGGAGTGAGTCTAAATACCTTGACTATGTTTTGATTCCAGAGTCCATTTGAAAAACTTATTCAGGAATAATGCGTCTGAAAGGAAACAAAGATGAGACCTTTTGTTGTCAGTTTTTCTTCCTGGCGTCCTCGGTGAGAAAAGGCTGGGTCGTTGAGACCAGATGAAAACAAAATTATGAATAAAGACAAGTGAGTTAAAAGTTTTTAAAACAATATTTTGTGTTGTTTATTAGTATTTGAGTTGAGATTGAAATTAAATGCCAAAAAAGGAAAATCGCTAGATTGCCGTTAAGATACTGCTAGTAAAGGTGAGTGTGAATGGCTTTGGCGGTGAGTAGAATAGTAGTAATAAAACAGCGACAGTGGTGGTCAGCGGTTCTGTGGCACCCACGGCGTTCTTTTCACAGGTCGTCCGATTCCGGCACCGTGCTGTCCTCTGCAGGCTCAGTCGTTATCACGATAGGGATGTTCTCAGATATCCATCCCTTTGGAGTCCTGTTAAAGGACCGTCTGCCAGACAGAGGGTTGGTGAAGGCCATGAACCTGGAATCTGTGAGAAGGAGTAGCTCAAAATCTGGAACCTTGAATTTAACCATTTTTGATGCTTTTTCAAAACCTCCAAATGGGGTGGCAACTCTGTAAGGAAAGAAAAAAGAATAAATAATTTTCAAATTTATTTGCTGGAACACAGAAAGCAACTTAATTCATGATGTCACAGGCATGTTTTTACGCTGTATTCTTAGTAAGATTTCCAGTTTTTGACATCTGAGACAAGCATTTCCATTTAAGGGCTGTGCCTTTATGAGAAAGCAGAGAATTGATAATGAAGTGGTGTCAAGTCCCTTTGTGTGTGCGCTTCGTTGCTTCGTTTGGGATTAAGCCAACCTAGCGTCTGTACCCTGAGATCACCCCAAATGTCTGCCTTTGTGCCTTTGTAGCCACATGTCTTTCCCCTGCTTCAGGCATTTCCTCCCCGCCTTCATTCCACCTTAAATTCCAGCACCCCGCCCATCTGCCCCTTCCTCGGCCAAATTCCTGTAGTGTTGATTGTCACATGTCAGTCATTCAGAGTTTCTGAGAGGGTGCTTAGATTACCATTAATCTCAGATGTTAATTTAGAACATCGAGTACCACCCAGGTGCTTTATGATTGTTAAACTTCAGAGTAGAGTAATGGGTGAAAGCCGTTGTGGGCTGGGCACCGTGCTTCTCAAACTGAATCGGTACAGGATACACCTCGGGCCCTTGCTGAAGGGCAAATGCTAATTTAGTCAGTCTAGTGTGTGTCCTGAGATTCTGGCTTCCTACCCAGTTCCGGGGTGATGCCGGAGCTGGTCTGTGGACTGCACTTGGAGTACAAGGCTTTACTGATTGTCTTGTTAAATTCTCAACAACAACCTTGTGAGTTGCTTTTATTAATATCCCTATTTAATGGATGAAACTGAGGCACAAATATGTGAAATGACTTGCCCACAGTGACCCACCTGTTAAGTTGTAGAACCAGGATTGAAACCCAGGCTGTAGGCTCACTGCTTTTCTAGTCACTACCCTATTCCACACCCCACAAGATAATTTTTAAGGGATACTGGGCCTTCTGAGATCACTTTCTAAGTAGAACGGTGTGTTTAGGAATGTCAGCTCATGCGGGCTGTGTCTGAACGTCAAGCCACGGTGCTGGCGCATTCATGATGCAACTAGCTGATTCAGTGTCCCACGTTTTGTCATTTGATTTAATGAATTAAAATGTCTTTATGACTTGAATTGGATTCAGTCCATAATTGAAACTGCTTATTCTTGGATGTCTAAGATGTCCAAAACAATATTTTATCATTTTAGAAACTCAACCATTGTATATAGTTTATTCATTTGTTGACTCATTCATTTATTCATGTGACAAATATTATATCTAGATGCTTTGTTATATGCTAGGAATTCAAAGATAGAAAGGCTGTAGTGGATCTTAACTTCAGTGAGCTCACGGAGAAGTAAAGAGTGAAACATGAGGAAAAGACCAGCACATTGTGGAATAAGACAGTTCCTGTAAGGGAAGAAGAATTGTGTGGATACGGAGGAGCTTGGGGTAACAAGCACCGGTCTGCCTGGTAGGTCAGGAAACGCTGCTGAGGCTGAGAGCCTGGGCTCCGCACCAGCTATGTCGTTTGTAGGGACCCGTGCAAAGGGAGAACTCAGGGGCCTTGTTAAAAATTGTTAAGAATTTCAAAACCGAAACAGAGCATTGAGCCAACTATGGTCCTTCCAGATGTGGGGCCGGGCAATTGCAGAGGCCACTCGTCCTCTCCGGGAGTTAAAGAATATATGCTCATCCACTGGGTACAAGAGGCTAGACTTGAACATGTCTAGATTTAGCCTGAATTGGGTCAATAAATCTTGTGTTTATGAACTCCAGAAACGGATTTTACTCATTTTCTTTCTGAATTAAATCAAAGAGGAAATGTTCCTCTGCCACTGAAATCCACCATTTGGGCTTGGCACTTAGGACACTCCTTGTTCCCTTTTCATCCAGTTCTGTGTTGTTTTTCTTCCTCCCAGTTTGCGGGTCATTTTCTTCTCTTGTAAATGAAAACATTCCCTTCCGGCCCATCACCCATCTCCTACCTCCTACCACTGATCCAGGGAAAGGTTGCTGTTTGAAAAACAGAGTTTTCTTTTCTTTGGCACCATTGAGCCTGTATCCTGTTTGTTTGAATTTTTATTGCCCTCTGCACACAAAGTAAAGAAAGTCCATTAAGAGATGTTAAGCATTCAAAGTGAGATATTTAAGACCTCTGAAACTAGGTTCAAGTCTTAGTCAAAGTTAGTGAAGCATGAATTTCCACTAGAACATTTGGAATATTCTCCTGAAAGATAACCGTGTATCCCTATAACTCCCATAACACAAATTCTTCAAACATACACCTGACTTAAAATGATTTTTACACTTTATCAACTCTGTAGTGAATAATAAGGCTGTTCCACTCAGATGCATAGTTAATAGATGCTTTCCTGTTTGATTTTTGATCAGTCATGGCATTGCATTTGTATAAATAGTGCTGGACATATGATCCACCCATAATAATTACTGATTGTTTTATAAGGCAAAGAATAATGTAAAATGATTGTATACAACTTAAAGTACTAAGTACCTAATGTATGTAACATATTTAAAGGTACTTTAATCTTATAATCCTAGAATTTATTTTACAGATGAGGAAATTCATACAAGGAGAGGTTAAGTGGCATAGTCACATAGCTTTCTGAAGCAGAACTAGTTTAATACCCCTCACATGTTGCATGGGTTTACTATAATATTATTTGAATATAGTACAATATTTACATATGCTCAAAATGAGAACAGGAATACAAAGTTGTATTAACTGTGTGGGCCATTTTGAAATCATGATTAAACTTGGGAGCCAGTTCTCATCCAGTCATTATCCCTGATGGATGCAACTAGGCTGCAGCTCACCTTAAACGACGCTTCGGTAACAGCATCTAGTAATTATGTGCAATAATGTGGGGCCACCAAATAATAGTATTTTACTCATTGCAAAGGACTTGGGGAATATTTGGAAGCTCTCTCCCCCCCCCTTTCTCTGTTGCTCTCATTTGTTTTTGCAAAAATGAAAAGAATAGATAGATGTATTGAAGTCTTAATATAATAATGTTGAATTATTTAAGAAAGAGAAGGAGAAATGATACTACGTCTTATTTTAGAAATGTGTATATATAATAGTTGTGTGAGGAACTAAATTTCTGGTCAAATTATTTCCTCATAACCTTGAGTAGTTTGATAAAAATAAAATCCTGTTAAATAACCTACAGCCGGAAAGATATTAACCCAATTGTACCTGGAAATTATTTTAACCTCTTTTTTTTTAAATTAGTGGAACGTGTACTGGACTGATTCAAAGAATGATTTTTATCACATTTAATTTATGAAGGGCCAGGTACCTATTGAGATTATTTTGCCTATGTGATTATTTTTGAAATAAATTTATTGAAGTGTAAGATGCATTTTAAAAAGTGTACAAATCATAAGGTAAAACTTGATGAACATTATCTATCTTCTAATTACGTGTTGCTGGTATATAAAAATATCATTAATTTTTAGGCTGACCTTGCACTTGGTGACCTTCCTAAATTTACTTACTAATTCTAATTACTAACCTGTCGCTCCCTGTGGACATAACCATGTCATTTGTGAATAAGGACAGTTTTATTTTTCTTTTCCTATCCTGACACCTTTTGTTTATTGTTTTTGTTTCATTATCTATCAGGGGTCAACAAATAATATCTTTGTCTGAAAATGTGCATTAAGTTTGTTTTTATTTTACCTTTTACCTTGAAAGAACATTTTCACTGGATATAGAATTATAGGCTGGTGGTTATTTATTTTGTAATTTTAAAGGTGTTATTCCCTTGTCTTCTATAATTCCAGTTGGGAAATCACTTCTCTTATTTTTACTCTTTTAGGATAATGTGTGTTTTATTCCTGCGTGATAAGATGCTCTTACTGCTTTGGTTTTCAGCAGATTCACAGCCATGTGCCTTTGTGTGGCTGACCTTGACCCCTCCGGGGTCAGGTAGTACATCCGGAACCTGTCATTTGATGCCTTTTGTCAGTTTGGGAACATTCTTGGCCATTGACTCTTCCTATATTGCTTCTGCCTTATTCTCTCTCTTATTCCCTGCTAAGACCAATCACACACATCTCTTGGCATTTGGATTATTGTTCCAAGTGTGTCTTCAGCTCTTTTCCTGCATTTTGAATCCTTTTTTTCCTCCATGCTCCAGTTTGAACATTGAAGAGAATCCTCTCTTCAGCTGTGTTTAATCTGCCATGCAATCTATTTAATTTTTAAAAACACTTCTATTAATAACTATAGCATAAGGACAGAAAACCTCATAACAGTGTACAATAGCTGTTCTAGCATGAGCAACCTTGTAACCAGTGTGCATGCTAAGTTACATCGGAAGCACTAAACGTGGCCCTGCCCAGTCACCATGCTCTGCTCCCCTGCATAGTCAGTCTCCAATATTTTGACTTTCACATTAATATAAACTTATAAAGTATATATATATATATATATATATATATATATATATATACACACACACACACATATACACACATATATATACATATATATACACATATATATACACACACATATATACATATATATATGT